GGTCCAGTTCATATCTGCTAACTAGAGACATTCACTTGTACCAGTACAAAGCTGTATTCGATGTTTTGTATTAGTTGTGCTGGTCGAAGGTGACCTGCGTTAGAGCGGTGCACACCTGTAGAGCTACTTTGGAATTCTACCACATCTTATTGATAATGCAGAAAAACCCAGCTCAGCATAAGCCAGCAGACATGTCTGACTGAGCAGTGTTCTCTGTACTGAAAGCATCACTTTTGTGCTTTACACTGTCTGAAAATCGTGTTGCTACCACCTGAATTGCCCAGAGGAAACTTGGGAAAAACAGAGCCTTCTGATTCACTGAGCATATGTGCTATGATAGAGCTGGGGTAATTCTTTTCAAGCAAAGAAACCAAGACCGAGTACTGCCACCTGGATTTTCTGATTCTTCTTCACTTTTTTATTAGATCAAAAGCTTGGAGTGGACTTGAGAGGCATCCCCTGCCTGTGTCCAGACATTGAGGAAATCATTGATTATTAGTATTCTTATTTCTCCCAAGACTTGTCTTACTGTGTGTTTGTGCCATTGAAAACCCCACAATGCTTTCACAGTTCCGAGCAGAATAGCCATACGAGATGTAGTTTGTCTTTCATACCCTTTGTGTGTATCTATCAGGCTTGGAAAGAGTTTTTCAAAGTGCCTAGAGGACCTCTGCCACGGGAATGTTCTAGTTAATGAATAACTACTCAAAATGTTTTTTTGCTATCATGTGATTTTCCTCTTTGATGTTATGCGTGATCTTGGCTCCTGCTTAATTGGATGTAGCAGGGGCCTTTCTGCAAAAGCGGTTCTGCTGATTAAATCTAATGACTGGCCAGAACTGGAAACATGTACATTTGCCTGTGCACTGGTGGGAGAACCAAGCTCTGGATCTGGATTCTGGATTTGAAGGGGTTTGGGTTTGCTTCTTCCTTCTGAATCTGTATCCTGAGAACAAGCCAAACCACAAGACAGCACTTTTTCATCTGTGCTTGTCTGGATTTTAGACACATTGACATTTAGAGACATTAGAGAAGGAGAACTTGGATGTGGATTGTTATATGGGATAGGAGGTCTCTCTTATTTCCTTCTCCTTGAACGTGTTCTTGCTTAGTTGTTGTAGTGGAAATATACTTAAAAAGAGCATGTGAAATTACTTCTGAGATACCAGTCATGCTGTAGTTGAGTAAGTGGTGACCATAACCTTTGGCTGTCTTTTCATGGCTTCCCTGTAAAGGAGATACTCGTAGTTACCAGGTATAGCTGACCGTCCTCCTTCAGTCTTAGTCTGCCTCAGCCAGCCACTATAGTAACTGCCTTCTTGCCACCCCAATTGATTATAGTATTGTCTTTGTTTCTCAGTAGTCAATGTCTTGGTCTTTAAAAAGCATTAATTCATAATACCTCTAAAGCAATCTCTTAAGATGGGATAGGAATAGAATATTAGAAAGTAACAGTGAAAACAGGTGAACCTTAAAGGGCAGGGATCTTGGCTTTTGTACTGAAAAGTCCTTGCTGTAAACAGTGAAAAGCCAAAGAAAGACTACAGCACAATTATGAACAAGGTAAAATTTACAACAAAAAGATGTGCCCACAAAGTTGTAATTGTTTCTCTGCACTTCTGCTTCAGGCAACAGAGTTGGGTTATTTTTGCTTTTTTTTGTTTTTTAATGAGGCATCAGTGGGTCTTGAACTTGAAATCCATACTTAGAGCTTCTCATGGCTAATTCCTTTCATGGACAAATATTGCCTGGTGTGGCATTCTCGATTTGTTAAGGGGACAAACATCTTTTTGTTGAATAATTTAGACTAGACTCGAAAACCAAGCAAGTCCTTCTGAGATGAATTCCAAGGTCAAGTAAGTTAGAACATAGAGCGCAGTAAATGGTAGCTTAGAGAAATGTTTAAAGGCGTGACATGGTGATTTACCCTTGATTTTCCCTAAGAGTGAGGCCTTAACTTTAGGCTACTCTATGGTCATCATTACCATACTAGGTATGTGCTTCCTAAAACAATGGGAGGAGATCCTCATGCTTTTGAGATGGACTCAGCAGCATCACCATTTTATGGATGAGGAACCAAGTCTGTGAGGCTGTGAGTTAGGATTGCAGGGGACATGCCGACCTCTCTAGCCAGATGCGATGCAGCTGTCTGAAGGTCCCATAGGACCTGACTCCAGTCTGTCTAATCCTAGACCAGTACTGTAGCTTTGCTGCCTGCCTCTCAGGTCTTCTCAGCTAAGCATATTCTAAGTTCCCCAGTAAAAGTCCCCTAACTTGCAAAGTATCCTGTTGCAGTCCATCGCAGAGAGTCCACATTTAATATGTCACCTTTGATAGGTGAACCATCTGCTACCTGTTATTTGTGCTTAGAAATATTATTTGGCACTAGTCAAGGGCATCTTAATGTTGTGTAGTTGCCAAGTGTTTTCAATATTTTGTAGCTTGTGTTACAGTGCATCAACAATTTATAACAATGCAGAAACATTTTTTCCTCCTACTGCACAAAAATGCACATTCTGATTTTATTCATTTTGTTAGACATGTATTGAAAACCTCTTCTAAAATGAAAAAATGCAGTAACTCAAAAATGTATTGATATCAAGTGATGCGTTTTGACTGCAATGTCATTATTAATAGGAGTCTCAAAAGTAGTCTGATAGTTTTGAGAACTTGCTCTTTCCTCTGCAGTGGACTGAATGAATGGTTGCAGGTTGCAGCTCTGCTCCTGCAAGAAGAGGGTGCGAGAGCAGGGCTTTTTCAGCCTGGAAAACAGAGGACTTTGGGGGAAAACGGGCTCTTCAGTAAACATCAGGAGAATGAGAGACAGTAGACATAAATTAAAACAAGAATACAAGAAAAAGCTTTCTTACCATGGAGACAGTCAAACAGTGGGACAGACTGCCTGGAGAGGTCATGCAGGCTCCACTCTTGGAAGTTTTCAGGACCATGATTCTAAAGCTTCAGCAGTGCACAAACCTCCGCAAGGCAAAAAGATCAAAGATTTACTAGATTCCTTTATTATAGTAACATATCTAGCTTGAATCTCTTAATTTAAATGAATGAATGAATAGCATTTTTTTTAGAAAGCAGAGAAACCACTTTTCTCCTTTATAATGTTAAGTTTGAACACACTGTCAGAAAAAATACTAAGAAGAATCATGTTTTGCAGGATTTTCAGAACAACAGTCTTGAGCCAGTTATGAAATTGTGTGATGCTATTTCCATTATTTGAGCAGTGGGTTGTACTACAAAAGGTTCAAGTCATGGAGACTTGCATGGAGTGCATTCAGCTGAGCTTTCAGGTTACTACTGTAAAAGATGTGAATTTGTTTCAGTCTGTTGGATATAGGTGCCTTTATTTGGAAAGTCCTGTGCTTCTCCATTACAGTAGCTCCAAAAGTGCCTAGATTTATGAAAACTTGGCCCTCGTGGAGGCGAGTTCGGATCTGATTCCCCTAAATAAGCCATACATTTGGCTGAAGGCATTCTGGGGCAATTCCAAAAGCAGAAGGGGGCTGTGAAAACTCTGGATTCCCTTAATCACAGTGATTCCCTTACGGCCTTTCAATGGGCCTTTTTCCTTAAATCCACTACTTAGAGAAAGGGAGGCTAGAAAACAGAGCAGCCTGAGCATTTCCTCAGTATAAACCAGCAACAACTGAAGAAGCCCAAATGTATTTAATAGTCCCACCACCCCCATAGGGTGTTTGCCAGGAGGTTAGGAAGATATGTAAGGAATAAAAACATATTTTCTATCCTCGGTCAGCATTGGGAGGCTGACTCCCTGGACACCAAGTATTTTGCATCAATTGGTTTTCTTACAAGCATGATTTTCTCTGAAATTTCAACAATTTCTCCTTTCATTGTTAAGTGTTGGGTTTTGGCTGTTTTACAACACAGAAAGAAGTGGGCTAATAAAGTGTGACTGTGTGATGGTCAGTCCCCTTAGCCACTGCTATGCTTGACACCTACAAGCGAGAGTACTGCCATAATCACCAATTGTATTGTTCTGTATTCCAGAAACATTTCTGGATGACTTAGTTGGACATGAGTTACACTCTACAATCATTTTCTGTGTTACAGTAAAAGTAACTGCTCTTAACTACAAACCTAGACCTTCAGTATGGATTGCAAAGCAATGGATGAAGAAGTGACAGCTTGCTACCCTTTGCCATGACACCCTGGAGCATGTGCAAAACAATTTTCCCCCACACCCAGGGCAGAAGCATGAATTACTTTTTTTCCTGCAGGAAAAACACCGTGCTGAAAGTCACTCTGGTGTCACTGAGATGCTACTTCAGGCTGCATCCTACTTGAACCTGTGGTTACTTGTTCACATGCTGGTAATTTATGGCTGACATCGTTTTGGGAACGAGAGCCAAAAGCAGAAGCTGACCAGTCCACTGCAGTTTGTCTGACATATTTTGTCTTTCATGTCATGATTGTTTTCCATACACACAGTTTCTTGTTGCTGAAGCAGAAAGTCATAGTGCAACTATGTGTAAATTATAGGATTGAGCTTTCTTGTTTATGTGTGGAACTTTATCATTTGATTCAGTGGGAATGAAATCCCAAATGATATTTAGAAATCTTTTCTCTCAATGTTTAAAGGAATAATTTCTGTGCCACTGAGAGTGATATTGAAAGTACTTCATTTTATGTAGGTAATTAGCTGTGAAGCAATGGATGGGAAATTTGTGTCGCTTTTGAATTGGAAGATTTGTGACAGAAAATCCTACTTGTATTGTTTCTGTATATTTTGTACTCCTGGTCTAATAAGCCACTCACAGTACATTTCAAATAATGTTTTGAAGTATTTCTGTAAAATACAGCAATGTCAGGTTTTGATATATCAAGTGTGAAATTGAGCATTAAATTTTTAGGAAAGGAGGAGATTAATTATCTGTGTATTTAAATGACCTATAAATTGTATGCGTTTTAACATTCCTCAAACACTTTTGTGAGCCTCAACCAAGTTACATCTCTCTCTATTTATGCAGGTATTTTTGGCCAGAAGCTGGAAGACACTGTCCGATATGAAAAGCGCTATGGGAACCGCTTGGCTCCTATGCTGGTGGAGCAGTGTGTGGATTTTATCCGACAGCGGGGGCTAAAGGAGGAAGGGCTTTTTCGACTGCCTGGGCAGGCTAATCTTGTCAAGGAGTTGCAAGATGCATTTGACCATGGAGAGAAGCCTTCTTTTGACAGGTAAAATCTCCAGGTGTCCCGACTCACTAAGCCTAGGCAGGATGTGAAGTCATCTGAAGTGCACTGGCTGTCCTGCAGTGCTGTACAACATGTGACAGTGACAGTTTTTGTACTCATTTATAATTTTGGGCCTTTCATCTTTCAATAAAAGTAACTGTACCTATCACAACAAACCCAAAAGTTTCTGAGAGTCCACATCCAATTTGTGTTCCACTATTCATACCATTTTTCAAACCTAGTAAGAAATTTTGGGGCCCAGAAAGAACCAAGTCCTGTCCTCATAAATGCCTTCAGTCTTCTGTAAGATAAACTTACTGGGCAAGTTGTGGTCTGAAGTGTGATTGTGTCCAAAATTACACTCTTCTGCTAAAAGTAACCATGAGTAGTAAAGCATGCAGCTCTCCTGCAAGGAGAGCTCACAGGACTAGTACATTTATTTGGAGGATGCAATCAGTGGATTATGACTGGTGCAAAGCCTTTGTAATGCTGTGCTAATAAGATAAATCTAATGAAAATCTGATTTCATGAGACAGTAAAAGAGCTGTTATCTTTCATGTGTATTTTGATTGACACCTTTAACACACCCCCAAAATGGAATTGGGATTCTGCATTCCCTTTGAGGTTCTAACTGCAATGAGGAGGCAGCACACTTTTATTTTGCAAGACCTTTGGCTGATAGCAATGCAAGTAATAGAGCACAGCTTAATCTTTTAGTGTAAAAATATGCCAAGATACCTTCCTTACCCCTTCAAAGTGAGCAAATGTGATATGTGTGGAGGTGTGTGTATAAGAGAGATACAAAAGGCAGACATCTGCCACGCTGTTTTATCTGTCTCCTTAGTCCTGACCATTACTTTAAGCAATGCTGAGAATTTCTTAGTGCCCTGGAGAAGAAGAGTCATTGTCTTCATGCCAGGATTATTACTTCGTCATCCAAAAGCAAGGGCTAGAGTGGTTGGGTGCTCTGGGAAGTGATAGTGTTAGCTGGTGAGCATTTGCAGCAGTTTATTCACTATTAAAATACTGAATAACTGTGTTGTGGATACAGGTAAATGGTTTTTAAAGTAAGTAGAAATTTACCTTAGTCAGGCATCCATTGGGAGTGTTTTTCTTTCTTGGTCTTTCAAGTTAACTGCTACTGGGTTTGTGTGTGGCATAACCTCTACCGCTTACAAAGTTGTAAGAGGGCAAGCAGCAGGGGCAAAAGAAATCCCCAAAGTGTATTTTTATCATGTCTGTAAGCCAAATGATTGAGAAGGAAATGCCTAAGAAAACAGGCAACCTCCAAACTTGAGGAACATAATTTAGGGGACACCCTATTCAGAGGTGCTGCTCTAAAGAAGTGCACACATGGTATCTGCTCAAAACAAGGGAGGCCAGGGATGAGCAGCATCAGTATCTTTTGCAAGGTTATCTAGCAACATCTGTGGCACACTAACAAGCCCCAGGAACAGGCAGCCAGTCAAGCTTTAGCAGATGAAACAGAGAAGAGATTCTGCATGCTGCTGCTGTGAAGTAGGCATGTGATCTCTGCTACAGCAGTTAAATGTCAGCTGGAGCTACCTATAAACCAGAGGTACTGCAGCTCTGCTTGTGAAGCTACGTATTTATAGAACACCTACTTTGTATGCTTGCACAGGGAGGAGGTGACTGGGTTTGTTTTGGATGTTTTTTCTTTTTTGTTTCGTTTTTCACATCTTGTATTTTGGAGGTGATGTGTGATGTAGATGTAGCAATGGTCCAGAAGTTAGACTTAAATCTTGTTCTTATCTTTGCTACCATTAGGCATCTGTGTTTTTTCCTCCAACCTTTTGTTTTATTTGTAAGCTTTTGAAGTGCAGGTCATTTTACAGTTTCTATAGTGTCTACAGGATTACCTGGTTTCTGGGTAGCTTTTTTCCTTGTGCTAAACAACAGCATAGTCTCCATCTCTGTGCTGCAAGATGACCTCTTGGAAAGTGGCCGCAATCTGAAAAGTGCTGTAGAAAAAAAGAAATTTATTAAAGGCCCATGCTATTTTCTCTCATAGACTTTCAGATCCAGTGCGTTTAATCTGTAATGATGAATCAAAAGTCCAATAGTGCAAAAATCAACACCGCGCTCTCTAATGATTTATATTCTTCCTTTCCCATAGCTCAATAATAAAGATTCTGCAGCTAGAGCTTATAGCCAGTATTGTTCATGAGGCACAAAGCACAACAGAATTAATGTTACTCCTGTAAAAGTGCTGGGTCATCAGCTGTAACTGAAACAAAGACTAGCTTTTGTCTTTGGTATTTAAAGTAATATAAAGATCTGATGTTATGAGTAGGATGCCATTTTTCACACTGACATCTCTTCTACGTCTAAATTCACGTAAGTTAAACAAAGATGTTAGAATAAATGAAGATGATGTGAAATTAGTGAGCATGGGCAGGTATATGGTTTTCAGTGGGAAATGAAAATATTAAAAAACCATTCTTGTCTTTACACTTTCTTAGCTAATTAGGTAAAATACATAATTTGTAGAATTAAAGGGAAAAATAAAGGTAAGATCTTATAGACATCTTAAGTACTCTTTTCTTGAAAAATTCACACCTTTTTAAATATCCTTCTCAAGCTCCAAAGTCACAAAACCTATTATCTGGTGTAAAACATCCAACATCTCTCACGCCAATATCAAAACTGGAGCATCAGCATTTCCTGCTGCCTCTTGGAAAGAGAGTTAAAGTTGCTACAACTGAAAACTGCTGAGAGTAGCCTCTGTTGAAGCCCTTTGTGCTTCAGCAAAGTGCTTTGTGCTGTGTGGTGAACAAAGGAGAAGAGCAAAAAATCCATGTCAGTTTAAAAAAAAAAAAATCTCAGTTCCTATGTATGTATATATGTAAATCTGCTTCAAAGATCTAACACTGCAATTAGGCAATTGTTAGTACCTTGAAATACTTTAGAATCCTTAGATCTTTGCATAGAATTTTCTCTTTCAGGAAAGCTGATCTGTTTGTCCTTCGAGTGGCTGTTTGTGTCTGCTGCATGGCTTAGATTTTAAACTGAAAATCCCTCAGCTACTGCTTGTTAATACATTTGTAATGATGTATGCCAAGTAGATTATGACTGTTTGTTCTGCAAAATTAGCACAGCGAGTATGGCATTGCTTAAGGAAAACAAGGAGAGGGGTTTCTTTGTTTTAAAATTTTTACCTTGAAGGGTAAAAAATTGGATGCCTCTTTCTAGATTATCTCTTTCCATGTGTTGTTCGTCAGTTAGTACCCGACGATATGGCAGTTAAGATTTCTCAGGAAGAAGTGGCATTTGAAATGTCATTGAAACAGATATTAATATTTATGTAGTCAATATATGTAGTCAATATATGTATGTCATGTAGATTTTTATAACTATTGTAATTGATGTGTATAATCCAGAAGTTCAGAGGAGTTTTAAGAATACGTAGCTCACGTGCATTTGTTTGTGTGTATCCATGAGAGAGAAAGCAAACACATGCCCGCATAATTAACCAAAAGAAATTCCCTGCTAAGCCCTCTCATGAATCACTTCTTCTAAAGAGGAATAGAGTCTATTATGGGCTGAAATGTTCCTTGCTCCTCTTCTCACCATTGCTATCAGCTCGGAATATGATATGCAAGTGGCTGTATGTGATAGCTGGCAGGCATAAGGCTTACAGAAGTCAGATAGTTTGGAATATAGGAGAACTTGGTAGGTTCCTGTTCATTTAATCACTGGGATTGTCAAAAAAAAAAATAGTAGTGAATGACAAGTGTGGTACTAATGTAATAGCTTCAAGGTCAGAAGGACTAGTTGCAAAATCCTAAATATATGGAGAACAAGAGAATCTGCAGTAGTTACTGCATCCTGTCTCACCAAGGGCACAGTCAAAGGACACCATAAATTACCTTTAACTCTAAACCTGGCATAGGTTTTATTAAGACGTTTTTATTAAGAAGAGGACTCCTCTTTATTAAATATGTCCGTAATGTCCACGGGAAATTACATACAAGGGCTCAGCCTTTCAGGCTGGATGTCAAATCATAATGCTAGCACAAAGGAAGAACACACTGAATAAGGTGTCAATACTGAATCCAGTCCTTCTAGGAACACTGGACATGGGACTGGAGAATAACAGTACTTTCTGAATTGCCAGATGCTGCTCATCTTCTCTGAATCGAGGTAAATTCTGGCAAAGTAAATGTTTTTACAACATGAAAGTAACTGTGCTTTCAAAAAAAAAAAAAAAAAAAAAAAAAAATGTTTTTTCAACCCAGAGGCATTCAGCTATTAATATCCTCTGTGTCTTTAGGGCTAAGCATTGTTCATAGGAGAGCTGTTTGTGTGTTTTAGGAGATGAGTGTATTTGGAATTTATGAGTCTTATATTAACTTATTATAATATCTTTTTGTTCTTCGTAGTGTATTACTTCTGTTATAGTAAGTGGAAGGATGTTACAGAAGGGAATATATAGGCAAGCCCATGATGGGGTTCCCTGTTAGCTAAATCCTTGTTAGTCACATTTGCTTTATTTATTAAGGTTCTGTTTTATTTCTCACTTCACAGTGGCTGTGGCAGCTGCTAGGCAGTGTGGCCCCCACCAAAGCAGCTATGTGACCCCCAGGAGAGGACTGCTTTCCTGGGCATTGCCCAGAACTTGGTCCTACCATACTCTACGAGATGAAGTCACCACGGTTCCTTTTACATTCTCATTTCCCCACAGAAAACAATTACACATTTTTTCATCTTTGACAAAAGCAAAAAATTAGAGCTGTCTTGGTATGGCTGCAGTTTGCACTGGCACTATATGGGCTACAGCTAGATGTGGGCTTAGAAACCATAAGTGATGAAAAATTTATTTTTTCTAAATATAAACCTGTATATAAGAGTTTACTTCGTTTAAAATCATAATTCCTTATGAGAAAAAGGCTTTATTCTCCTCCTTGGATGTGGACGAATATCGTGGAAGCTCCTTAAAGTGGCTTTATCTTGAGAAAACTAGTGCACTTGGGTTTATTCAAGATGGTGTTTCTCTCCCTGCTAGCCCCAAGCAGTGTTAGAAACAAGAGTAAGTATAAGATTTTGTTGGTGAGACACTGTTATTTTTTAGTGTAATAACACCTTAAAAAAATTTGCATCTTTATTAGACAGCTGATGCCTGCCAAAGATCTTAGGCCTGTGAATATTCCTGGCAGTTTTTGAATTCTTGGCAATTTCAAAACTGAAATAGTTTTTTACTGGGAGTAAACCCAGATCCCTGTAGCCAGACTTCTGTAAATGTAGACAACTGAGGTGAAGGTTTTGACTGCTTCAGAAGTTGAAGGTGAGATTTCAGTTGGTCTTTAGATTACATGCCTATTTTATATATATATATATATGTGTGTGTGTATGTATATATATGTATATATATTATGTATACATTCCATAGGGAAATATATAGTCATGTGCATGCAGTTCTTAGAAACATGCTCTAAGTGGCTCTGCTTGTGCAGGCGTGTTGGACTAGATGATCCTGTTGGGCTATGATGAGCCTCAGCTGTGAATGCTTGAGGTTACTTCCAACCCCAGCCATTCTGCAATTCTATGCAATGTTAGAGGTGCAAGCTCTGAAGATGCTACCAAAGGGAAGAGAAAAATGATGTGGGGTGTTCAACCTAATCTTTGCATAGTCCACTTGCAGCATTGATTATATCACCCTTGATTTCACCTTAGCTGTTGAACAGGGCTGTGGTCTGTGACTCAAATTGCAGGGAATTCAGGGATCTATTATTACTCAAAGTGTTAGAGCTTTTCTATTCTCCTTTATTAGCAGAATTCCTAAATTGATTTACAGCTTCATAATTTTCTTTTCCCTACTGTTTGTTCTTTATGCAAACTGCGTATGTGTCATCAAGGTCTAGAGCTATTTTTGGCATAGCATTAATCTTTTTGCAATGTGACCTTGCCCTGTTACATTTCCTCTCTGAAAGTTTATGAGGAGCCTGTTGGCTTTGCGCTCTGAAACGCTGACTGCAGCGCTCTGAACGCACTTTGTGCTTGGCTCTGAGTGCAAGGGTTTTGCATGGATTTCTGGTGACCTGCTGGGCTTTAGTAATTTTTGTTTATGGTGGAGAGGGTGAAAATCTCCAGGCAGTGTAATCAGTCTGACAGCAACTTCAGCAACTTCCACAGTGTCTGTGATATCACAAAGGAAAGTGCTGTCAAAACAGCACTGCCACGAGGGATATTAATGACAGAGTTCACATGAATAGCGCTTTGAATACATGTAGACTGATGACTAAGGAGGGAGTTGTGATGTGCTGGCATTTGTAATGCCTTCACACGGGCAGTAGTGGAGAAGCGTTGTTAATACTTTACCAGTAAAGGAACCAGCATTTGGGCACATTTGTTTCACTGTACCCTGTGAACAGGAAGAGATTTCTGCTTCCTTTTCCATTAGACATGGATACAGCAGCCTGTTCTACCTTAAGGGCAGCACAGCAGTCACAGTTGGGCTGCTTTTGCTCTGCTCCCTGAGAAAGAAATGTGTTGACCCACAGCCCATACGCCTGGTTACAGGGGCCTGTGGAAATCAAAACCTGTCTTGACCACGATATCTTGTGAAGGCAAACCTCCCACTGCGGCATGTCAAACGGGAAGGGAAGTGTCCGTTCAGGTCCCAAGAGTTTGTGACTTCAATTGCTTGTCCCTGCAATTGGACTTTGACAACACAAATCCATGTTTGTTTGCTTCTTTTTTAGCATTTTCTGTTCTCTACGGTAATATTTAAACAGAGCAGCTATACCCACTCTTGCACAAAAGAATTTTAAAAGATGCTCATACCAAAAAATGTGAAAATTGGAAGGGCGGCCTAAGGAAATGCATTGAGAAACTCACTGTCAACGTTTATTAACATCTAACAAAATATTTTTTAATCATGTTAATTATGAATGCATAATTGGTTAAAAACTTTGATGTTAGTGTCAGACAGCAAAAGATATATTGGGATAGATATGATTATTACTTTTCTGTAGCTGTAATGGTATTAGGATATAGGCAAGGCCACGTTTGTCATTTTCTAAACTGATTAGCTGGAGAAAGTCCATGAGGAAAAGGGCCCTCTGCAGGCCCTGAAAAGCTCAGCAGATATTTTCAAAATGCATTTCAAAGCAGATGAAATTATATAAGTGCCCTCAAGGCAAATGTATTAGTGCCCACTTTCTTTCTTTTTTAAAAATACTTTTCTACATACAGAACCAATTCTATCTGAGCCAGTGTTCCCCTTACTAGAGCCAATATTCTATATATTAGAAGCATTATTTTATTTGCTTGATTAGAAAGCAGATCCCTACTGATGTGGTTACAAGACTACAGACAAGAAAGGGGAACAAATGTTTCCGATCTACAGGAGAACTTGAAATTCAGCAGTCCTTAAAAAAAGAACAGAGCTGTCCTCTGTGGCTGAAATGGACTTGATGGTACTTGTGGGTGGAAATGCCTAGAACAGAGATGGAATAAAACTGGAGCCCGCCATTTTGAAGTTTACCTTTGCATTTTAAGTTGAAGGGTGAAAAAAGAATATCAGAGTCTAAAGTCTAAACAGTCCATGCAGTGGTTTGTATAAGACATTCTTAGTTTCATTATTAATCATGCTTTATATCAATGTTGTAGATTGAAAGGAGATTTCTAGTCTCTACGTACCAGTTGCTACATAGAATTTTAAAAATTCAGCTCTGTTCAGCAGCTTTGCAAGGCTTCACAGATGCATCTGCATGTCTGTTTGCTTGTTTATGCTGTCAAACTATGTGGATAGACTGACTTGAAATCCCAAAAGGCATTCCAGGACGGTCAGGGACAAACAACAAACTTGTACAAATTTAGGGTCATCTTACTTTGCAATCCCACCATCTAGCGGCCGTCTCCTGGTAATGTCTGAGCACTCAGTAGAAGCTACCAAGCTAGGCCTGGATTTCGAGGCTAGCCCAGCAGGCACATTTGTGCAGGCTCCAAGAGGCTGGGTGGAGAATGGGGACTGTGCTCTGTGGCTGCTGCTCTCCTTCCAAGTCTGTCGGAATAGCACAGGTCTTTCCATGTGGATGCATGTATGTTGTACATGCAGCAATGAGGTGGGGTCAGTAGATGATTCCCATTTTAGATCCAAATCAGGCTAGAAGTGGAGGGTGGCAATGCAGGGATTAGAATTTGAACCTTCACTAAACTAGAAGTTTGAATTGGTGCTTGGTTTAGGGTTCCTCCAAAAAGTCCTTTCATACAGGTTCAGGAATTTTGGGATTGTTTTTCAGGGTCTAGAGATTTTTCCCTGGGAATTTATTTCTAGGGTGCTAAAATATACATATATAGTTATTTATAATTTTTCTTCCTCTTATTTTACTTAGATTGCTGATGCCACACTGTATTAATGTAAAGCTGTTCCCAGCATTCTTGTTAAGATTTAACTTCGTAAGAGCCATTCTTGTTTCAGCAAAGATCATTCCGACATAATGATTTACACATTTCTAAACAAGCCAAAGTGTGTCAAATGCCAGTGGTTCCCTTTGTGAAGTTGAGAATTTTAACAATGTTCAAAGGAAAAACACTGCTAAAGAAAAAAGAACGATAAAGCCATGTCTGTTGTAGAAATCCCTATTTTTTTAGGAGTGAAGTGGGCATGAGTTAGTACCAGTTTTTCAGGCTTTTTCAGAAATCAGATGGAAGGCTATCCGGCTGTCGTATAATTCTGTTTAACTGAAACAAAGAAAGCTTGTAAAATATAACAGCGAGGAAATATGTAAAGAGATGTCTGCACAGCTAAAACTAGAGATGGTGTCAGAAAGAATGAGATCTCTTCATGCTGACTGGTATTTTTGTCTACTTGTGCTTAACTTCTTTTTACAGAAGTGCTTCAAACTAAGCTCAGTACAACTTTACACACCCGAAAAAGATTTGAGATCATACTGCATGTTCTGAAGTCATGATTTTCTTCTTTCTCTCCGTCTTCTTTCCTCTAGCATGTCCTGACTCATAACTACTTGCAGCCTAGAAGAACCTAAGTTTCTTTAAACTGCTTTTTAAGAAAGCATGTGTTACGGTGTCACCTTTTTGACTGTCATCTTACTTAGACTTACCCTGACTGAACCCTAACATGTTGTCTTTTGTTCTACCACCCATTCTCCAAGCTTGGGTGATTTGCTATGCTTTCGTTATGAGGTCTGGTTACCGGCTCTAGGGAAATTTGCACGTATGATTTTGTTAAAAGAGATTTTCTGCATGTGTGATGTGAGATGACTCTGAATGATAGCCAAAATCATCTCCATACCATTTTCTACAAGAAAATGTTTGTCAGCTCTGATGATTTATTAGTACCGGAGCTTTATTTGCAGGTAGTCTTATGTCTCCTTTAGAGGACAAGGGAACTAAAACCAGATGACAGATGTGATTTGTAATTGTATATACTGATGATAAATAAAAACTCAGATTCTAAGGAAAATGTAAAGCAGGAGTTGGTAGCCTGTCAGTTGAACAGTATTTTCCTGATTCATAGTAAATCTTTTGTATTTCAATCCCACAGCAATACAGATGTGCACACAGTGGCATCACTGCTCAAACTGTACCTAAGGGAACTCCCAGAACCAGTCATACCATATGCAAAATATGAAGATTTTCTTTCCTGTGCCAAAACCATCAGCAAGGAGGAGGAAACGGTGAGTGTGCAAATTGATCGAGTTTAAAAGGTTGGCATATTACAACCTCTTATGACTTATCTCCTCTGATTTAAGACTTGCCTTTATTAATTTAGCCTGTCTTTATATGAAAATTATTTCTACCTAGCTCACTTGGCAGTCTGCACTGAATACCCTTTTTGCATTTTTTTTTTTTTTTTTGAATCACAGCTCAACTGAACATCATTGAGGCGAATGGCTCCCATTTTGCCCAGAGGGGCATTTGTTCTGTTTATGTGCCTAGCAATCTCAAGCTGTTGCCGTAAGGGTCTTACCAAGAGCTGTGCAACTCTTCCGGGGTCAAGCTGCAAGTGTCTTAGGTTGCCAAGCTTTTTTTTTTTAATGGAAGTTTGAAGGACTCTATTAATTGCTTATCGTTGACCCAGAAAGCATTAGAAAGATGCCCTTCTATAGCAGTGCAGGGCCCTCCTCGAAACTCTTTAAAATTGGTGTAATAGCTATTAGCAAAATTAGTGCTCTTGCTTACAGTATCTGCCCTGCACTGGTTTAGTGTTGATACATATGTTTGAAGAACTAATAAATAGCACTAAGTTCTTCTTTTTGTATTGTAATGGGCATTCCTTTTATTTTCAGAGTAAATATAAATAGTCTGGGATGGTACTACGTGTGAGCAAGCAATGGCTATGGATGAAGCAGTTTCTGTAATGTGTTTATTGCTTGTTAATTGCTGATATTGCTGACAGTTTTGGAATCTCAGTGGCAAACTACTAACAACCTCTGTTGCCTCCTCCTTTCTTCTTTCAATTGCCTACGTAGGGCCTGAGGGAGTTGGTGAAGGAAGTGAAGAGCCTGCCTTCTGTCAATTATAATCTGCTGAAATACATCTGTAGGTAAGCACACCTGCAAAAACATCGCGCTGCTCTTTGTAACTGAGAGCTGACAGACAAACCTGGCCCTGCATGTGCCCTGAAGGAAGAACATAGTTCTCAGAGAACTCATGAATGTGAGTGCACTAAAAATAAATGTTTGTTGTGCAACAAATTAGTAATTTGCATTATCAAGGTGTGCAGTTATGAGTTCCTTGAGCAAGAAAAGAAAGAAGGTAGAGGTGAATATCCTGTCCTCAGCACAGGGACCTGGTTTGCTCAATTCTTACGGCATTTATTGGCCATGGTTATACATAGTATCATTGAACACTGCATACGTCATTTAGTATACAGACTAGTTTTGCAGAAACATGAAATGTTGCTAACATGCCTTTCACAGTTGCTATTTGTAAACTTACAGGAAGTTGATCTTTAAAAAGTTCCAAAATTAATAGAACTTCTTCTAATGGGAAGTTTGCAATTTGAAGGTATTTTTGGTGTCAAATATTTACCCTGGAGAAAAGGGGTATTGGTTTTATGAATATATCAAGAAAATCAGAAGATGAAGAGAACAGCCAAGAACTTTTAAGATGTTGCATAAGGCTTGAAATGGAATACTTGATAGTATGCAAATACATCACATGGTTTGGAGTTTTTATTTCCTTTCTCTTTTCAATTATTCCTTAACAGCATCTTTCTATCCCACAGATTCCTTGATGAAGTCCAGTCTTATTCAGGTGTGAACAAAATGAGTGTGCAAAATCTGGCTACGGTATTTGGCCCCAACATCCTTCGCCCAAAAGTGGAAGATCCCTTGACTATAATGGAGGGTGAGTTGGATAAAATAGTACACAACTTGATCTAGGAAAAAGAATTACTTTAAGGTTTATTAACAGTACTTACCAGTCCCTATGGTACGTACAAAAAGTTCATAATATTTGTGTACATGAATACTTTTGTGGTTTTGTGGCTTCGCTCAGATACATTGTGACAGTTTAATATGAGGGCACCAAGATAAACCTCACCATGCTACAGAAATCCTATTTTACACATCTAGTCCATGTGGCAGTTTGAGAGAGAAATGCCAGGGCCTTGCTTGATTGCTGTCTTCCTTCGCTCTCTTATCACATCTCTCACAGGAGTCCTACATTTTGTGTGTACGTATTCCATATCACTTAATTTTCAACCCTTCCTCATTTGTACCTGCAGAACTGCCAAACTGACATAAATAGGGCAGTAACTTTACTTATCCTGACGCTTTTTTATGATTCAACTACCTGGTAGGCAAGTGCTGTGAATGCTTCTCTGGGCCAGACAGCACACTGGCCCTTTTCTTTCAGTCTTTTATGTGAAGTAGTATTTTAAAAAATCATAAAATTGTTCAAGAATTGAACAGAGCTGACACCAGTGAGAGTGATAACTCACAGCATGACAAACTGATGGGATACCATATATCTTCTGCTCACCTGGGAGTGGAAAGACACAGGGATTCAAGACAGGAGGAGAGGAGTCAGCGACTCATAAAATGAAATACTATTTTCTGGTTCCGTATTTTCCAGAACTGGTTCATGTCAAAACAGTTATTTTTTGTGAAAGGTTGAGCAGGATAGATTATTTAAGTGGGTAGAAAGGGAAAACCATGTGTTTTTCCAGTTACTGTAACAACTCTCCAGCCTGCTTTTGAACAGCCCTAGTGCCAAAATGGCTCATGGCTGCTGTATGAGATGGCATTTAAGAGATGACATGCTGTTTTATACCCTTTGAAGCCCTTGTCACTGTTTTGTATTCAAGGCTGAACATGCAGCTATGGGTAATACCTACAGTTTGGGGATGAAGACCTACGGAGTTGCTTATGCCTGTAGGTGAATCAGAGTTAGTCCAATGTTTGTAGTAAAATTTTGCATATAACAGCTAATGTTTTTGGAAGAAATACAGTTAAACATGTCACAGATATAATCGGAAATAAACTACCTTTCTGCATAGTTCTGATAGGCAGCTTTACCTTGGCAAAATGTTAAAAAAAAAAAAAAAAAGGCAGAAAGAAAAACAAACAAAAAACCTTCAAGCCTAATTGGCTCTTGGTGATTGTGTTTTAAAGGGATGAGGGGCAAAGGTCCAAAATATTTCAGTGTAGTTGATGTGAAATGATATTACGCAACACAAAAATACTGATTAAAAGAGCAAAGCATGCCTCTGAAAGCTGTCTAGCTGAACCCCCAAATATACTCTGAAGAAAAGTCTCCGTTAATGACAAGGTGTTTGGTGTGTCTTTGCAGGTACAGTAGTAGTCCAGCAGCTGATGTCAGTGATGATAAGCAAGCACGAAGAGCTGTTTCCCAAGGATGCGGATCCTCAGATGGGACCTGAAGTGTGTAACAACAACAACGAAATGCCAAAGAAAACCACAATAGGTCAGCTACAGAACAAAGAAAATAACAACAGCAAGGAGTCAGCGGTGAGGCGCTGCTCGTGGGACACACCTGAGTCTCCCCAAAGGGCAAGTGTGGACAACGGGTCTCCCACAGCTGTGCCAAGCAGCAAGACAAGCAGCCCCAGGAACAGCATCCAGAAACTGGATGTCACAAGAAGTCCACCTCTGACGGTGAAAAAAAATCCTGCCTTTAATAAAGGTAGTGGCATAGTCACCAATGGGTCATTCAGCAGCTCTGTGGAGGGCCAGGAGAAGAGCCAGACCTTACCAAACTGTGCCCTGCAAACCAGGAGAACGGCATCCCTGAAAGGACCGGTGACTAAGATGGGCACACACAGTGTGCAGAACGGAGGGGTGCGGATGGGTGTTTCCAGCACAGATGGGCACAGCAATACCCTCAATGGCCGGACCCCAGGCTGGGTGCCCAACGGCTACGTCACGCTGAGGGACAGCAAGCAAAAGGAGTCGGTGAGTGACTCGGGACAGCACAACAGGCTCTCCACCTATGACAATGTCCACCAGCAGTTCTCCATGGTGAATTCTGAGGATAAACAGAGCGTGGACAGTGCTACCTGGTCAACATCCTCCTGCGAAATATCGCTCCCTGAGCACTCCAACTCCTGTCGTTCATCCACCACCACTTGCCCAGAGCAGGACTTTTATGGAGGTAACTTAGAAGACTCTGTGCTGGAAGGGCCGCCACAGGAAGACCCCTCTAATTCAGGAGACTATGAGAACAAAGGTGACCAAAGGAGTGTTGGGGGCCACAGCAGCAGAGCCACCAGCAGCAGTGATAACAGCGAAATATTTGTGGCCAACAGTACCAACAATCACAGTGCTCTACACAGCTTGGTGTCCAGCCTGAAGCAAGAGATGGCCAAGCAAAAGCTAGAGTATGAAACAAGGATAAAAAGGTAACGCAGCTTGGCTCTTCCACCTGACTGCCATTTGCAAAGCAAAAACAAGAAGCGCTCCCTCTCATGTCTGTCCTTTGCACCCCAGGTTCTGACTTGGAAGCTGAGAAGTCAGTACAGCAAGATAGTTAATGTTCCCGCATCACTGTGTCCAGCACAGGTAGCACCAGAAGTAGCAGTTACATGTGCTGCTGTCCCCCTAGAAACTGATAGGAACCAGACTCATAGCTCCCTTAGTGCCCTTCTGAAAGTTGGCTTTTTGCAGGCTCCTGATTCAGAGTAGAACAGGTAAAACTTAGCACTCTGTCCTGCTGTATCTGCATGGCACCTGGCCAGGAGAGAGAGGCCCTTTCAGCTGAAGCCCTATAGCATGTAAACAAAAAATCCATTATTGGTGTTAGTTGTATTTTTAGGTCATATTGTGACTTGAAATAAGATTTGTGAAAGCGAATAGAACTGATGATGACTGTTTAGCAATGCTGCCAGCCTGATGATTTTCAGAAGATACAAAATATGTTGAATTTTTTTAGTCAAACCTTGTTGTTTGCCATTTCTTTCAGATTTTGTGGATAGATATAGTAGATAAATCAGCTGAAGAAGAAATGAGCTATGAAACAGGCACTCAGGGCATTATTTTGACCCTGCATGTGACAGTAGGATGGGAGATAGGAGTCGATGTCTTGGGAAATAAAACGATGATTTAAGCCATTTCCGGCAGAATTAGATAGAGCTACCTGTACAACTTAATAGTGGTTGGTATTGTGCATTTGCTAACTGGAATAGGGATTACTCTGTGGGAGTGAATCAGTGACAAAGCCATTGTTTGCAGACACCTCTCAGAAATTTCATCTAAGCTTTGTAAATGAAAAGCTAAACACGCATGTGAGTGTCTCTGCGTAAGCCAGTCAGAACTGCTGCTCAGGAGTTACCTGCTTTTATTTCTGTTTCTGTAGCTTGGAGCAGAGAAATCTTACCCTGGAGACAGAAATGATGACCCTGCATGAAGAGCTGGATCAAGAGCGGAAGAAGTTCACAATGATAGAAATCAAAATGCGTAATGCAGAGCGGGCCAAGGAGGATGCAGAGAAGAGGAATGACATGTTGCAGAAGGAAATGGAGCAGTTTTTCTCCACTTTTGGAGACCTTACAGTGGAACCTCGCAGACCAGAAAGAGGCAACACCATCTGGATCCAGTGAGCATTGGAAATGTAGACTGTGGGACTTTAGGGAAGGCCTTATGGGGGTATGATACTATATCAGGTGGCTGGTCACCTGTTTGAGGCTAGTACTCAACATAATGTTATGAACTCTTGAAGGAAGAAATACAGATGATTAACCACTCATATCTACAGTGTGTACTTATCAAATTATATTCTTTGGATGCTTCATGAGACTACTGTTAAGTGTTACAACTGGATATGTGTATATAAATTTTGAAAAGATCACCTTAGAAAGTGAGAGATGTATCTCAAGAAATATTTTAATGCAAGTCTTGTATTTAAACTGGTAAATTGAAATGTTGTTGCAATCAAGCTTTATATCGAGGCTTTTTTCCCTTGCACTTAACGTAATAAGCTATTTTTGGCATTGTGTTATTATTTTGTTACTCAAATGTTTTTTTTTTGATTTTTTTTGTTTGTTTGTTTTGTTACCCCTCTTGCTGGGGGTTGAAAATAAACAGATGCATTAAGGTAAGTGTGCACATAGCTAACTGATTTGCGGCGCTTCTAACAAGACAGCAGAATGAGAAACAGCAGGACACTACAGATAAAAGGGGTACTAATTTCCATCTTGATCACCAATTCTGTTAAAATATCAGGGCAACAATATCACTGTCACCAAAATCAAGTTCAACAGGAAAAGAGGAAACATGGTCAGGCTACGTGTTTGGGAGGGAGTTAGGGGCGGGTAAAAGGTAAGAACTTAGGAGATGAAAAGCAAATATAAGGACAACACAATCAGTCAGAGCTTTTGGGGGTATGTTAAAACAACCTGGTGTGCAATCACTGCTTGGAGCAGTAATACAAAAAAGTTGTGCCTTCACCATATTCAGATCTGACTTAGTTGCATGCTCCAGGAGAAGCTGGCTCCCTTCTCTAAGGCTGCTGCAGTGATAAGCAGAGGGCATGGACTGAGCCTTAGCAGTGTGACAGGTGCTGAAGACAAAAACAACAGAAAGGATGACCAAAGAAAGAAATTATCAGGGCAACACAAGTAACAAATAAGGAAGAAAACACATGAACATTCATCACCCATATTTACAGTGTATACTTAGCAATGATCATACTCCTCAAATGTTTCATGAGGCTACAGTCAAGTGCTAAAACTAGGAAAGCATCCAGGTTCCTAGTGTCAGCTAGGAAACAATGAGAGGGAATAGACTAGCCATCCTAACACCATGTAGAAATTAAAAAAGGTCAGAAAAACTATGCTGTAAAGTAAGAATCTATCTGGCAACTTTACCACGTATAAAATGTGTATTTTTTTAGTGTATGTATTCTCTAAACCATGTTAAGGACTTGTTGTTTTTAACACTGTGTTTAGGACTGCAAGCTGTGTTTTTAAAGAGTGGCCATCAGATGTCTTGGCTTCCCCCTGGTGTCACTTAAATATATTACAGTTATATTTGAATTCCAGCTGAGAAAGAACTATGAAAGAACTCTGAGAAAGAACAAAGAACATTCTTGCTTCTAGTATGTTCATTACACTCAGGTGTGGGAACTGTTTTGTGAAACAAGCAGAAAGCTCCTATTTTGCAGCATGACTGCACTTGTTGATGGACTGTTTGGGTTTGGTAGCATTCCCTATGCCTTTCAAGATCTCTTAAAATTTAGAGAAATACACATCTCCCTCCCAGGCCTACCCTCAAGTGTCAAGAATGGAGTTCAGAGTGTTTTTGTTTGTTTGTTTGTCTGTTTCTTTCTTTCTTTCTTATATTAAGGCCTTTTCATTCAAGATGGCTAAGATGGTTTGTAAGATGAACTATTTCAGTGACATATCTCCACATGGGTTCAGTGCTGTAATGTACATTATCCTCATTTTGGTATTGTGCTTTTTGTGGATTGCCATCTTCAGTCAGACTGGATGATGCTACTGCCGTTATTCCGTCAGGGCAGCGTGCGTTTTGCATGATGCAGTTTGTGTTTTAATATTTAATCAAATGGACCGGAGTCTCCTGGTATTCATTTAAAGCTATTTATGAAGAAAATTTTACTTTTCTTCCCTTGTTTCCCCCCACAGAGTGATCCAGGAATTTATTTTTGTTAAGTTTAAAGACAGTTGCTACCAAATGTTTTTTTCAGAACTCATGTCAGCAGTGCAACCCTGCTGCCTATAGAATCCTTGTTGACATGACCAGGAACCACATGTATAGATAGATGAGAAGAGGTTGCTCCTCACTATTACCAGTTAAGGAATATGAGGCCTGCAAACCTCTGAATTTCTTCCTAAAGGTTGTGGTTCAATGATAACATCTGATTGAACAGGTGTTGAAAGAGGAACATTTCCAGGTAGCTAAACCTACTGCCTACTGTGGCTAGATATACAGCAGTCTTCCTCTCCTATTTTACATCAGAGTCATCTTACTAGAATTTACCCTGAAATCTTGCAGATAGGGGAGCCTTGGGATCAGCAGTAGGTGCCAAATGAGTGTCTGTTACAGAATAAATGCAAAATACAAAGTGGTGATGGCAGCAAATAATTTCGGTAGCTGAGATTCACACTTAATCTTAGTAAGCAGAGTTCTAGAGGCATGTTTTTCACAAATGTTGCAGCAGTTCAGATTTTCTTTGAGGACAAAAGAATTAACATAGACCAGTGTATTGAAAATACTTAATTTTTCTGTACATTATTTATAAATAAATGTATACATTTTATATGCGTTCCTGCATTCAAAGCTGTGCAATTGTCTTGAGAAGCGGCCTAGAGCCTTTCTCTAAGGCAGCTGAATACCCTTATCTAACAAAGAAAAATGAGTTCTGGAGTCTGAGGGACTTGTCCAATCTGTCCTGCAATCAGCTATATAACTAAAGAGAGCACTCAAGTCTGCTAGAATAGGACCTGTCAGTATTATTTATTCCCTGCTGATTTGTACTTGTTAAAAATTCCAGTAAAATACTTGTCTGTCTGTTTGCATATTTATACCATGTTCATTCTCACAACCTAATATGGTCCAGCAGTTCTGCCTAACAAAGAATTTTCAACTTCTGCATTTTATTAGACAGTATGTATAAATTACTTTGTGAAAAGCGAAAATATATAAGAAGACAGACATGGGAAACTATGGGAAATAAGAGTTTGTGACGGGATTCTTAATAAATGGTTAAAGCAGTCTTAAAAGAACAACAGAACAGGTAAATAGTGAAGTGTGATGAAGAATATTTCTTGATTTGGTCCTAAGTGTAGTAAGCAAATCAGGCCTATGTGAAAGGCAAATCTCGTTTTGGGCGGAAAACAATAAAGTGCACAAAACAGAAGCACAAAGACAAAATTCCACATGGAAAAATAAATGATGTAACCATTATCCAGGTTGCCTAAAACATTTCTTTCTATAACTTTATGCTTTAGTAGTGTTTTCCAGGCACTTTTTGGAGGTTGCTCGTGATATGAATATTGTATTATTCATCCATTAGCTGAAATAAGGATCCAAGAAGTGTTGAGAAAGCTACAATTTTCTAGGAAGTTTTTCTTTTGACAAATGTTCAATGTATAGCATCTCTGGAGGGATGGCATGGAGGTGGAGTAAGGAGACATCAAATAAACAGGTACCGCAATTTCAGTATTTTGACAATGCAGCCCAAACAGTGAGTTGCCTCCAGCAGCTGTATATGGCAACCCTTCCCAAGTGAGTGAAACTCCTTATTAATTTCCTTTCTTATTATGCATTCCCATGGAGTCTGCCCATTGAAGGGTATTTGCAGACTCTCTGTGCCTCCTGCAATTTTGCAAGAACGTGGTGGGGAGAGGGAGACTGGGACAACTGAAATGACCACATGTACGCTTTTGATGTGGGCATGCAAAACAGAGCAGGCAGACAGGAGGAACGAGGAGAACAAGGAAGTGAATGTGCCTGAAATAGGTGCCATGTGTATGTGATAGTAATTTGCCCTCAGTTCAGTGCATTCTTTCTAAAAGCTTGTCTCTGCAAAAAGGTTATCAAAGTTAATATTGCACTACTCTTTCAGAGCCTTTTTGCTCTAAATTACTTTTGGTGCCGTCACCAGTAGCGAGCTAGACTGTTTCACAATACTGATAGCAAAGAAATCACTGTGTGTTAATGAGAATCACTGTGTGTTAGTGAGAATTCTTCATGCGAAGAAACACTTGAGCCAGTAGTTTCAGTAACAGCTGAATTAGGAGGCAGTATACACTGAGTGTCAGACAGTAACCTGCAGGTTAGCAGCAAGTACTCTGGGAACTGCTAATGGCCCTCAGACCACTCCAGAGCAGCGCTTCTCAGCAAATAAAACTGTATTGGGCACATATCCTGCTAATATAAATTGTCATGGCTCTGTAGAGTTTTAAGAAGCAATGACAGTAACTGAGGATCATTCCTACTCGAATTTTAAGGTAGTCTTGTAGTGCATGTACCTTCTATTAGTGGCAGTCTAGTTTTGTTGAAGAAATGCTTGACAGCAATAAAACAAACAAATTTCTCTACTATTAGAATAACCATGGAGAGTCCAAATCTTTCTGAGGGAAGAAAACAACGAGTACAATGCAAATATATTCCTCACTTTTCCCTAAAGGATCCGAGATAATGAGCTTTGTATGCAATACAGCAAGAATAGAAAATCCTCTCTAGCTCTGTGTATATTATTCTCTTCGTGCTAAAGACTTCTAAAATTATTCCTTTTCAGAAGGACATTATTGGAGTGTAATCTGTGATGTGAATACTATTATGTACATGGTTGTATTTTTTTAACTGTATAGTACTTATCTTGAGTTCAAAATAGGTGATTCAGAGCACTTTTTTTTCTGTTATTCAAATCAGTTTGGTTCCCTTTCCACTTTTCTGACCTTGTCAAGATGGAAGCTTTAACCTCTTTTTTTCACACTTTAAAGCTTGGTGAAACGTAGTCTATAGCTCAGTGACAGGCATAGTCCTACAACATCACTGCTGAGGTATGCCTGAGCCTGGCATTTTTAATTGCACTTTCTTTACATCAGGCTGAAATGCAGCACGTGGCTTTTGGCAAAGCAGATGGAATAATGCAGTGCTAGCTCTTCCTGTAGCCATACTAAACCTAGACTGAGCACTGTGGTCAGACTTTGCCTAATTCAGTCTTGCAGATGTGTTCTTTGTATAATATTGAAGGCTTACACAGGGAATTGTGTGAAACAGCTTCAAATTCCCACCTACGTATACCCATAATAATTCCCATGTGTAGACATGTCCTAATTCTAATAGTGCATGTCGATAATGAAGGAGATATTTGTATAGTTTTGTATTAATATTGAGTGTATAGCATCAACTTAATTGATATTCTTCTGCCTGACTGAAGCACCCCACATCAAAGGAGACCATAAGGGAAAGCAGGTAGGATACAAAGCCTGACAAAGATGAAGCATCTCTGGAGGCAATTCCAAAGGCCATTAAGAGAACAGTTCATGAACTATTCATTCATCTATTTCTATGTTACCAGCTAAGCCTGTCTTTCCCAAGGCTAAAATCTAAGATGAAAAGCGCACTAAGC